GGGCCGAGCGGAGAGGAGGGGCCTCTGCGGGCTGAAATGTCTCCTACATGTCTTCCGGTTAAACATAAGTCCGCATTAAAGTGCTTCTTTTGGTCTCGATGCTTCTGTGACACGAATTCATGGCCTGTGGCTTACGAGCAAAAAATCTCCTTTTACTGAAAAATTCACATAACCCTGGTGGCCTAGAATCTCCCTCGCTGTAATTCAGCTGACGGAGAAGTGCAGACGTTTTTCCTGAAGAAACCCACCTCGCCGTGTTGAGGCAATGAGACTTGACAGCTTTTTGTTTTGTTTTGTTTTTGTTTTAGGGGGAAAGGAGAAAAAAGAAAAAAAAAAATTAGAAAAATTACAGAAATCAAAAGTTTTATGGCACAGAAAATATCTCTCGATCGGTTCTCCAGTATGTCTGCTTCAGCGTTGATTAAAAATTATCTTTCATTGTGAAAATTTTAAACCAGCTAATTCTGAAGTACAGCAGCATTATGCTGTATTTTTTAACCTGCACAGAATACCTGCCCACATCAGCTAATCTACATCGCATTTCCTATCACCCCATTTCACTCTATTTCAGATCTTTGGCTACACAGAGAGAAAAGAAGCATATTTAAAAGCTTCAAGATCCACCCAGCTGCAACAAACCTCACATGTGCCACAGAGCACAAGTGTGGAGGTATCAAACTACACTAATTCCAAGTTTAAAAATTATTTTGAAATGGTTGGATGAAATTTAATGAAGCTTCAAGTCCATCTACACATGCCACCTAGATATAAACTGGCTTGGAAGTAACTGCTGCTTAATGTTTATACAAGGTGGCAGGGACCCATATGTCATCATTCCAGAACTTGAAATTTTATCGTCTATTTCATCCTACTTTATTTTAAAACATTTGCCCTTCAGAACTGGTGTGTGCATCTTTGTATAAACTAGTAAGTCACCAAACCAGAAATGTGTAGTTTTCTAAGAGCTGTCCTCTTCTTGTGCAGAAGCTGTTCCTGAAACCAACTGTCCTGCAATTGCAGCCATAAAAATGGTTTATGCATATTAAGAAGTTTTTTATTTTGAGTTTTAAAAAACAAAGCTGACAACACTAGATCAGGACAGTTTGATAACGAAATACCTGGTACCTTGTGACTGGGACAAGAAGGCATTTAATTCAAACTCTTCTGAACATGATTCTGAAGCCTTGAGCCTGTTTTAGCAGCTGGTCATGAAAACTTCAGCACAATAAGTTGTGCAGTGAGCAGTTTTGTGCATAATGAGGCCTGGTTTCCTACATCTTCCCACTGTGATGACTTCAGTAAAAAAAAAAATTTACTTAACTTTTAGGGAGATGCCTAGTTGGTCCCAACCTACCCTGCAGTCCTATGTCTTCCCTTTCAGCCCTCATTGTAACTCCCTGGATGATTTCTGGTTTCTGTTGAATCCAGCAGAAATTGGCCATCAGATAACAACGTGTTCTCCTCCATCCCTTTGGTTGGGGGGATGGATGAGGAAGATTACAGGAGAATTCAGCAGATGAATGGGTGGCTCCAAGACTGGTGTTACCATCAGGGCTTTGGATTCTTCAATCATGGGTTGGTATACAGGGCACCTGATCTTTTGACATTAGACAGAATGCACCTGTCCTGGAGAGGGAAGGGTGTCTTGGGACAGCAGTTAGCTGGGCTCATTGACAGAGCTTTAAACTAGATTTGAAGTGGGCAAAACATCGGCCCATCTGAAGTGCATGTATACCAACACACACATCATGGGTAGCAAACAGGAGGAGCTTGTAGCCGTGATGAAACAGGAAAATTATGATGTTGTTGCTATTACAGAAACATGGTGGGATGTCTCCCATGACTTGAGTGTGCCAATTGATGGTTATGAGCTCTTTAGGAGAGACAGACAGGGGAGGAGAGGTGGTGGGGTGGCTCCGTATGTTAAGGACTGTTACGATTGCTTCGAGTACAAGTGTAGTGAAAACAGGGTGGAGTGTCTTTGCATTAGAATCAGGGGGAAGGCCAACAGGGCAGATGTTGTAGTAGGAGTCTACTACAGGCCACCCAACCAGGACAGAGAGATGGACGAGATATTTTATAGGCACTTAGGTGAAATCTCACGATCACTTGCCCTTGTTCTCGTGGGTGACTTTAACTTCCCAGACATCTGCTGGAAATACAACACAGCAGAGTGAGACCAGTCCCAGAGATTCCTAGAATGTGTGGGAGACAACTTCCTGATGCAGCTGGTGAGTGAACCGACCAGAGAAGGTGCCCTGCTGGATCTCCTCTTTGTGAACAGAGAAGGGTTGGTGGATGATGTAGAGGTTGGAGGCCAACTAGGGCACAGCGATCATGAAATAATAGAGTTCTCTGTTCTTAGAGAGGCCAGGAGAGAGCTAAGCAGAACTGACATCTGTACTTCAGAAGGGCTGACTTTGTCTTGTTTAGGCACCTGCTTGAAAGCATCCCCTGGGAGACTCTCCTGAAGGGTACAGGGGTCCAAGAAGGCTGGGTGCTCTTTAAGAAGGAAGTGTTAATGGCTCAGGAGTAGGCGGTCCCCAGGTGCTCTAAGAGAAGCCGACACCAGAGAAGACCACCCTGGCTGAACAGGGAGCTTTGGCTGCAACTCAGAAGGGGCTAGCCACACACAGTGATTACAAAGAGGCTGTGAGGCTATGCAGGGTGGAAATCAGAAGGGCTAAAGCCCAACTGGAAATTAATTTGGCCTCTGCAATCAAGGATAGCAAGAAAAGTTTCTACAAGTATGTCAGTAGCAAAAGAAAGTCCAGGGATAGTCTCCATCCCCTGCTAGATGCAGGAGGAAATATTGTAACAAGTGACGAGGAGAAGGCTGAGGTGCTTAATGCCTCCTTTGCCTCAGTCTTTAATAACAAGGTTAGTTGTATTGATGAAATCCAGCCTCCACAGCCAGAAGACAGAGACTGGGAGAACAACCCCCCTGCAATCCAGGAGACAGTCAGTGACTTGCTGCATCACATAGACGTACACAAGTCTATGGGACCAGATGGGATACACCTGAGGGTGCTGAAGGAGCTGGCTGGGGTGCTTGCCAGGCCACTTTCTATCATTTTATCAGCAGTTCTGGCTGACTGGGGAGGTCCCGACTGATTGGAAATTGGCCAATGTGATGCCCATCTATAAGAAGGGTCGGAAGAGCGATCCGGGAAATTACAGGCCTGTCAACTTGACTTTGGTACCCGGGAAGCTGATGGAGCGGCTCATCCTAAACACCATAATGCAACACATGAGGGACAACCAGATGCTCAGGCCCAGTCAGCATGGGTTTATGAAAGGCAGGTCCTGCCTGACAAACCTGATCTCCTTCTACGACAGGATGACCTGCTTACTGGATGAGGGAAAGGCTGTGGATGTAATTTACCTTGACTTTAGCAAGGCTTTTGACACTGTTTCCCACAGCATTCTCCTGGCAAAAAAGGCTGCTCGAGGTTTGGATAATCGCACACTTTGCTGGCTAAAAAACTGGCTGGACGACCAGGCCCAGAGAGTTGTGGTGAATGGGGTTAAATCCAGTTGGTGTCTGGTCACAAGTGGTGTCCCCCAGGGCTCGGTTTTGGGGCCACTCCTGTTTAACATCTTTATTGATGATCTAGATGCGGGGATCGAGTGCACCCTCAGTCAGTTTGCAGATGACACCAAGTTGGG